AAGGAACTGTCTGATTTCTTCTTTAATTTCCTCTGTGACCCATTGGTTGTTCAGAAGTGTGTTGTTCAATTTCCATGTGTTTATGAAATTTTTGCAGTTTCTTTTGCTACTAATCTCCAATTTCATGGCACTATGATCTGATAATATACAGGGGACCACATCACTTCCTTTGCACTTATCTATATATGTTCTATGAACGAGTATATGGTCTATTGTGGAGAAAGACCTATGTGCAGCTAAAAAGAATGTTATTCTGATTTGGTGGGGTGGAACATTCTATAAATATCTGTTAAGCCCATTTGTTCAAGAGTTTGATTGAGTTCTAGTATTTTATTACTTATTTTTTGTCTGTTTGGTCTATCTATTTGTGACAGTGGGGTATTGAGATCCCCCACTACCACTATATTATTGCATATATGACTTTTCATGACCATTAGTATTTGTTTTATATAGTTGGGTGCACTAGCATTTGGTGCATATATATTTATGATTGTCATCTCTTCCTCTTGAATCTTTCCCTTTACAAGGATGTAGTGTTCTTCCTTATCTCTCTTAATCAGTGTCGGTTTGAAATCCACTTGATGTGCAAAGAGGGTAGCTACTTCTGCTTTTCTTTGGGTTCCTGTCACATGGCGTATTGTTTTCCACCCTTTAACTGTCAGTCTATTAGTTTCTCTTTGTATTAAGTGTGTTTCTTGTATGCAGCATATTGTTGGATCTTGTTTCTTGACCCATTCTACCAGTCTATTTCTTTTGATTGGTGAATTGAGACCATTAACAGTGATGGTTATAACTGATATGTATTGACTTATCATTGTCATGAATTTTTCTTTTTGTTGGATTCTCCCCCTTTACATTTAATTTCTTGTTGCGCCCTACGGATTCATTCTTCTGTGTTTCCGGGTTGTTATCCTTGCTGTCTTTTCCTAGGATTTTGTCTAAAATTTTTTGGAGTGCTTGTTTAGTATTCATGAAGTTCCTAAGGTGCTCTTTGTCATGAAAGTATCTTATTTCTCTATCAGTTTTGAAAGACAGTTTTGCAGAGTACATCAATCTGGGCTGGAGGCTGTTTGCCTTTAGAGCTTGGAGTACATCACTCCAGGCTCGTCTTCCCTTGAGGGTTTGCTTTAAGTCTGCTGTGATTCTGATGGGCTTTCCTTTGTATGTGATTTGTTTCTTTTCTCTTACTGCTTGTAGAACTTTGTTTTTCTGTTGAGTTTCTGGAATCTTAATTATATGCCTATGTGTAGATTTTTTTTAATCAAGGCTATTTGGAATTCTATATGCCTCACTTATCTGTATGTGAAGTTCTTTTCCCCTGCTTGGGAAGTTTTCTACCATCACTTGTGTGAACAGATTTTTTAATGTCATCTGCACTCTCTCCTCTTCATTGACTCCAGTCAGTCTTGTTATTCTTCTTTGCATTGTCTAGCCGTTGCTGGATTGATTTCTTGTGGTGCCTTACAATTGTAAAGCAATTTTTCTTTTCCTGGTCATTAATTGCAATCTTATCTTCTATATCTGAAATTCTGTCCTCACATTGGCTCATTCTGCTGTGTAGACTTTCAATGGAGCTTTTAATCTTCTGGAAATCTGTTTTATATCTGTTTTATGGATTCCATTTGTTTCCTACGTTGTGATTTCATCATGTTCCTCAGCTCCTCTCTAGATTTATTAATCATGTCTTGCACTATGAGCACTATCTCTGCCATTGTCTGAGAAATTCTTTCTGATTTCTTTTTTTCCAGATCCTCTTTTGTTGCTAATTCAGGGAGTCCAGGTAGTTGAGTATCAGAGTGTTCCATCTCATTTCCCTTTGGGGTTGCTGTAGGTCATCTGGAAGTCTGGTTTTGAGACTTGTTTTCATGTCTTCTCATTTCGACAGGGTGTGTGTGTGTGTGTGTGTGTGCTGCTGGCGCTCCTGTGGCTCACCTCCTCTGTGCTGGGAGAGGTGTTTCGGCAGCCTGCAAGCCTCCTCAGCTCTGGGAGCAGTCCCTTAGACCTTTTTTAAAGCTTTGAGACAGGATCTTGTTAAGTGGCTCCATTGCCCAGGCTGGACACAAATTTCCAATCCTACCTCAGCCTCTTAAGAGTCCTGGGATGACAGTTGTGTACCACCTCACCTGGCTCTTTGTCATAGTCATTCTGGTGACCAGTCCTCTTCCTAAAACTATCCAGGGTTCTCTTGCCACCCATTGTCTTATTAGCATACAAAAGCATCTTTATTATCTGGACCTTCCAAGTGAACTGTTTCTGGAAGCATACAGAAAGGCCAGATATGTATTTTGTAATGTCACAGCATGGATTTGGCTTACTCACTCCAATTAAGTCTTTCCTTACAACTCTTTCATTTTTTTCTTTTTCTTTTTTTTTTTTTAAATCACTTTTATTGTCACTATTTTTTTGTTTTGTTTTATTTTGTTTTTTGGTACCGGGGATTGAACTCAGGACCTTGCACTTGCTTTTCTTCTTTATGTGAAGATCATAACTATCCACATGGCCAACTGGTGACATGTGTTTTTCATTGTAGGAACACTTGACATTCAGGGATGTGGCAATAGAGTTCTCTCAGGAGGAGTGGAAATGCCTGAACCCTGCTCAGAGGACTTTATACAGGGATGTGATGTTGGAGAACTACAGGAACCTGGTCTCCCTGGGTGAGGATGGCTTTCCTCCAGAAATTGCGTTTGCCTTTTGTATAGTTTCCTCTTTTGTGCTTCTGTGGATCCCTGCATTGTCTGGCTGAAGTTGAAGCTGTGTTGACACACAATTGAAAAGCACCCTCTGCCTTTCAGCCATGCCCTCCCTAGGTTTTCTGCCTACTTTTGATACATCATGGGTTGATTATACAACTTAAGTATGCATACAATTTCCTGGCAGACATTGTTTTCCTTTTTTGTAGTGCTGGGGAATCAAACTCAGCCTCGCTTGTGCTAGGCAAATGCATTAACATCCTCAGTCCTTATGGCAGACTTTTAAATTATCCAATTCTTTGTTTTCTTTCCCTGTTCTTTTGATTCAGCAGTTCTTGGGAAAGAACTTGATGTCTGCATATTATAGCATTCCCCAAGCCTGAAGGAATAAATCAGTGGGTGATTTTGTGAAATACTTTTCTAAATCCATCTGTAATGTTCTCTGTCTTCACATAAACATAGAACTGAAGTCTGATAAAGCCACAAAATACTGTTTTTCTTTCTTTTTATGAATAGGAATGTTTCTTCCTAACCTGAGTGTTATTTCCACATTGGAGCAAGGGAGAGAGCCCTGTACTATGGAAAATGAAATGAAAATAGCAAGAAATTCAAATGTGTGGGAATGTAGCAAAGGACTGAATACAGGTAAGACAAAGTAGACAGAGGAGCTGTTCCTTGACATTGGTGTGGGCAGGTGTTTGGGGATTTGATTCCTAAAGCTCAGGCAGCAGAAGCAAAAATTAAAAAATGGATTACATCAAAAGAAAATGGTTCTGTGAAGCAAAGCAAACCACCAAGAAAATATTTGTAAGCCATACACCTGGTAGAGCATTAATATATAAAATGTATAAAAAACTGAAACAACTGTAGCATTGACACAATTAAGAAATGGGAAAAACAATTTAATAGACATTCCTCGAATGTATAAAAATGGATAACATATATTAAAAGATGATCAATATCACTAACAATGGAAATAGAAATTTAAGCCTAAGTATCACTCTCTACCTATCAGACAAGCTTTTGTCAGAAAGATAAAAGATAAATATTGACAAGGATGTGGAGTAAAAGTAACTGTTGATGGAAATGTAAACTAGTGCATTCAATATGGAGAATTACGTATGGCTTCCTGAAAAACTAAAGATAAGGGCTGAGAATGTTGCTTGGAAGTAGAGTACTCACCTAGTGCACATGTCCTGGTTTGATCCCCAGCACTACAGAAAATACAAAATAAATTTAAAAACTAAAAATAGAATTACTGGGAAATCTAGCAGTCTAGTTTCTGGGCATATATGCAAAGAATTTGAGATCCGGGTTATCTAGGAAATAATCCACAGTCCATGTTGTCTGCAGCATTATTCAGTAGTCAAGGTACATAATTGACGTGCATGTCCATCAACAGATAATGGATTAAGAACATGTATATAGATAGATGGGAATATTGTTCAGCCTTCAAAGGAAGGTAGTTCTGTTTACAACAATGTGTATCCATCTTGAGAACCCTTTATTAAGCGAAATAAGTCAGGCAGAGAAATGTAATGCTGCATTGTCACTTATAAACAATCTAAACCAATTGGATTGCTAGGAATATAGAGAATGATGGGCTGGTAGCTGGATATAGCAAGAAGTTGTTGGCAAAGGGTATATTTTAAATAAAGAAGAGGAGTAACTAACAAATTTTTGAGGTGATGAATATGGTAATAAGTTTTTATCATTTCCACCTTGTAAACATTTATCATGACATTAATTCGTTCCCTAATATATACATATATATTTATAACATGAAACATAAGAAAACCATATTCCATTTCTTGTGTATTGTTTCTTAGAAACCCTTGCTTTTTGTTTTTTGAGACAGAGTCTCACTATGTAGTTTAGGCTGGCCTTGAACTCATTATATAGCCCTGGCTGACCTCGAATTCACAGTGATCCTCTTGCGTTGGCCTCCTGAGTGCTGGGAATCACAGGCGTGTGCCACCAAACCTGGCAAGCCTTCCTTTTTCTTAAGAGAAAATTAGTCATAATTACAGTATATAACTTTGTATAAATATCATTACTCTTTACTTGCCTGGCATTTTATCATGCTTTACTAGAATTTTTTGTAATTTCTATGATGGTCTACAGATGATTTTTCAGCGTGCATTATGCAATAAAACTATCATGCACTAGTTGTTAATGATACAAAATGCCTTCTGTGTGTAGGTATGGATAGTTTTATAACAAATTACAAAACATGTTTTTTCTGGCATTATTTCATTGAATTCTTCCTCTTTTTCCACTGCTTTTATTGCTTTGCAATTAAAAGTTACCATTTATTAACTCATTACTTAAATTTGCTGTGGGTTATTTACCATTACAGTATATCATGTGGTATTTTAGCATTTATACATAATGAATATGAATTTTTTTCTCTTCATTTATAAGATGGTCATATGCTTTTTGGCAATTAGTATGTGCTTTGGGACAATGAATATGTGCTTTTCAGGGCTAACATTTGGATGATGGGTTGTTTGAAACTAGGTTTTTCTCCTATTGGAATTATATGTAACTACCTTTCATTAATTAAAATTACACTTTTTGATTATCTTTTTCAATGTGAAATATTTGTCTAATCAGAAATATATGTTCCTTTATATCTTACAGATACCTCTCCTAAATGTATAATTAAGGGATCATCACCAAAAGGGAAGAAAAGTACAGGAGAAATATTCAAAAGAGTGATGTTGGAAAGACATGAGAGGAGTGACATTAAAGGCTTTTCATTTAGGGATGTTCAAAAAAATATACATGGCTTTGAATTTCAGTGGAAAGATGATGAAAGAAATTACAATGGACTGCTTGTGGCCCAGAAAAAAAGTCTCACTGGTAGAAGAGATCAAGGTGGTAAAAGGGATGCAGGAAACAAGCTTATGAAAAATTGGCTTGGATTAAGCTTTCAGTCACATTTGCCTGAACTGCAAACACTTCAATCTGAAGGGAAAATTGATAGTAATGAGGTTGATAAGTCTATCAACAGTGGTTCCTCAGTTTTACCACCTCACAGAAATCCTTCTACTGTCAAAACACATATATCTCAGGTATATGGAAATAACTTTATTTATTCTTCATTACTCATACAAAGACAAAAAGCTCATGTTAGGGAAAAACCTTACAAATGTAATGAGTGTGGCAAAGTCTTCAGTTACACCTCATCTCTAGCACATCATCGGAGAATACATACAGGAGAGAAACTGTACAAATGTATCGAATGTGGTAAGGCATTTTTCAGACGTTCATACCTTTTGGTACATGAGAGACATCACACTGGAGCAAAACCTTACAAATGTAATGAATGTGGAAAAGTCTTCACTCAAAATTCACACCTTACAAGTCATCGGAGAATTCATACCGGGGAGAAGCCTTACAAATGTAATGAATGTGGCAAAGCCTTCAGTGTTCGTTCAAACCTCACTAATCATCACGTTATCCATACTGGAGAAAAACCTTATAAGTGTAATGAATGTGGCAAGGTCTTCAGTCAGACTTCAAGCCTTGCAATTCACCGGAGAACTCACACTGGAGAGAAACCTTATAGGTGTAATGAATGTGGCAAGGTCTTCAGTTCTCATTCAAATCTAAACACCCACCAGGTAATTCATACTGGAGAAAAACCCTATAAATGTTCTGAGTGTGGCAAGGTCTTCACTCAAAATTCACATCTTGCAAATCACTGGAGAATCCACACTGGAGAGAAACCTTACAAGTGTCATGAGTGTGGCAAAGCCTTTAGTGTGTATTCAAGCCTGACCACCCATCAGGCAATCCAT